TGAACCGGAGCGTTTTCCCCGGGCTCGGGGGGACCGGGGGAAGCTCCGCTTGCTCGGGAGGCAAGGGCTGGCGGCAGGCAAAGCAGCCAGATTTCTAGGGTGCCCCAAGCGGGGGAGGTTTGGTAGCAGAGGATAACGCATCTCGAAACTGTTTACTTGTATTTCGTTCGTCTGAGGAGCGGGGAAGCGTTCGGCGCAGCCTCTGGGTGTTGAGCAAAGCTGCGATGGCTGCAAACTTTGGGGACAGATGCTGCTGCTCCGGAGACTCCGGGATGAAGCATTAGTCAGTCCTTATTGTTCTCTTGTGACAGCGTTAGCATTATGCTAATTGTCCTTGGGCAGAGCAGAAATTCTCCCGAAGTGTTTTATTTCCCTCCTAAAGTATCTGTGAGTTGATACAGTGCGCAGCGCAGAGCCATTACTGTCAGGCAGATAAATAATTGTGTCTTAATGCACAGTTTATGTTAATACGTCTTTCGTGACTATTTTTTGAACGACTGGATTATTGACCCTCTGCACAGAAATGCCAGACCTAACTTGAACTGTAAAAGAGCAAATAGTTTTGTTTTAACAAATAAGGGTTTGAGGTTGGCCGAAAGCATTTTTACAATTCTGATTGCTAGTGAAAAGGCAGTAATTTTTGCAGTCCCAGGAACAAATATATGCAGTTGTGAACCAGGCAAATTGACTTGGCATGGAGGGTAGCTGAACCTCCTGCGATCTCTAGATTATCATTATTGTTATTGTAGGCCAGCAGGAGCCAAACTGTGTCTTTTCTTTTTCTCCTTTGATTTTTTTTTTTTTTGTGGGTGGTGGTGGTTGAGAATTTGGAGATTGTGCTTTGATGCATTTTCAGCACCAGGGCTCCAAAGTAATTTTCTTACTGAACTGTGCGGTGAAAGGCATTTGTGTTTGGAGATGAAAATTTGCGACTGGGATTGAGAAAGAGGGGCTGTCACAGGGCTTCGTGGCAGAGCCACATCATTAGATGTAGGTTAGCATCTTATAGGTGCCTTGTAGAAATGTGCTTCCTTATTTCTTAAAAACAAAACTGAATTTTAACTTTCAGACCTAGTTCTTATATCTGATTTTGCTCGACATCTTTTTTTCAGAGAAAAATTTACTTGGCTTGTTCTCGCAGCATTACTTTAACTTTGCTATGTCTTGTCTGGGTAACCTGCTTTGGCTGGGTGACGGGGCTTAATGAACTAACAGCTCTTTTATGGTTGTAGCTTCTTTGATCCTAGAAAATGTAAGGATTTTTATGATCTATGACCTGGAGAGACTGCTACATACTGAGAACATTCTCCGCTCAACTTCATGTATCCTCTGCTCAGTCTGACTGTTTGCCTGCAGGAGCTTGTTTAAAAGAGTTGGGGGGGGATGTGCACCCATGTGACTAATCGGAATCAGAGTCAGTGTTTTCTGGGCTGTAGCTCAGACTGATTAGGGTGACTGCAGAGTGAGCACGTTGTGCCATGCCACCTTTCAACTCTCTTTTTCAGGTGAGCTGGGTACTGCTGACACTCAGTTGTTACAGTTTAATATTTAGTCACATTTGGTCTCTTCAACCATGAGGATGAGGACTGGAAGGATTGAAGAGTTAGGTCTCTTTAAGCATCCTTTGAAGAAGAATTGCAAGAATTGGAGTCCTGTCTCTTAGAACTATCCCTAGAACAGCACAGGTCTTTCTGACAGTAAGTTCTCTTCCCATTTCTGGTCTCTTGCCACCTTCAACAAGCAGCAGTCCCCCGGACTACTGATTCTTTGGGTCTTCAGACAGCCTGGTGGCCAGGAAACTCATTGGGGCACCCCTCAGCATTGAGCAGAAGAGACTTCCCTAGATCTAATCAAGTTGAAGCAAGTTTGAGAACTGTGGACTGCTCTTCAGTGTGCTTCTGGAGCAGCTTCTGTCATGTGAGGTTTTGCTGTGGGGCATCGCAGATAATATATCCCACTTGGTTAATGCAGTACAGGACTTTTTCCTGTGATCTGAACAGCTTTTGAAAGCTGACAGTGTTCTGTCCCAGCATCAGTGGTTGAGGCTTGTTCTTGGTATTTTCTTGTGGATTTAGACCTACAAACTGTAGCTAGGCTTGCCTGCTCCATGGCATTGTTAGTGATGAGTACTGAAATCCTAGACTGGTGACTAAGGAGTAGGTCCCGCTTCCTGTTCTCCCATCCACAAAATGTAAGGCAGAATACTGCTGCTTGTTTAAAAAACAAACCATAAAAAGTCAGTTAAGTGACCTGACTGAACTACTCTTAAAATACTTTTATAGCTTGAGTGGCCATATGACCTCCTGCAGCTCATGTTGGCAGATTGTGTCTTTTGTGACCTTGTCTCTGTAATTAGGCTGTAGGAAGGAGTCGTGGGATCTCTGCCCTCTTACTGGTAGCGTGAGAAACCAGTGGCTGAGAAAATTATTTAACTTGGTGGGTTGCAGTAGGTTAAGCTTAGGCATGCACCCTCACAAGTCTGAAGACTTTTCACTTTTCATTGCTTTTCACCTTCTGTGGTCCTTCCCCTTCTTTTCACTTTGCTGGTTTCTGCATAGATGTAGATAATCACCAGAACTGAAGACTTGGGTCTTTTGAGATCTGATTTGCTAGTTAGGTAGCAGTTGTGTTCAGGAGTAGTGAATTATTATTTAAATTCAGGACTTTTTAGAAGAACTTCTCAGTGAAGGATTGTTTTGGCACTATTGATCATGACTTGCAACCTTCTATACACCTGTGGATAGCCTTCTTGGCTCTGGAGTTAAAAGCTCTGTTTCTTGTTGCTTCCTGTGGCCATTGAGAGACTAGACTGTTACCAGTTTCCACTCCATCTGTGACCAATACCTCAGAATCGTGTACATGGTTGCAGAAGTGTTTGGTACCATATTCAGTACGTCGGATCTCAGCAAAGGCAGAGTGAGAAGAATCCTAAGAGAAGATGGCTTGCATGAATCTTGAAATGAGTGATTAAATAGGATGTTAGTCAGGAACTGAAATGTGGCATGGAAAACTTAACAAATAAATATGTAGCAAGTAGAGAGCCAGAGCAAGAGGGGGTGATAAAAAACCCCAAACAACCCAACATGCAAGACAAGGCTTGGGAGTGGAGAATGTGCCTGAGAAAACAGCAGCCAAGTTTGTTACATCCTGCAGATTTACTGTTGGGCTTTCAGGTTAACTACTCAGTGTTTCATTCATCCGTTCCACAAAAGAGAAAGAAAAGTGGCTCCCTCTGGAGCTAGCTAGTGTGACTTTGGAAGGACTTCTTTCCCTCTGAAGCTTGCAGGCTTAAGGAGCAAAGACTAAGCTGGAATCTTGATTTGTTTTGCCCTTGATTTTCTGAGTGGATGGCTTTCTGCCCCGTTATGTGTCCCCTATGCAGTTGCATATAAGTTTACATGGGATGGTAGGGAGGTGGAGAAAACCAAGGAGAGGCAGGGATGATGGAAGGAGGAAGGACTTGTGTACTCTATAGAGCTTTGCATTGTTTAGGTGCCCTGCATGGTGTTTAATAGCTGTTCAGGCCCCTGGATTTACTGAGACAAATGCAGAAGCTGCTAAGCAAGTAGAAATGAAGAGAAACCTCTCTAAGCTGGGGATGTGCCTACAGCTTCACTGTAATACCAGACAAGCCTGATGCTGCTGATTTCATTAAAAGCAACATTCGGGGACTCAAAGCAGGGTTTAATACTTGCTATATATTTTTTTACATATGCTGACCTTATCTGGTAAGCCTGTAATATTTGTTGCAATGAAGAGCAGCTGCTGCATAAATACATATATAATATCAGTTGCCAATTCTGAAAGCTGCACTGAGACTGTGTCTTGTTTGAAGTGGGGTTGCTATTAAAAGGCAGGTGGTAGGATGTTTATTTTACACCTTGTTAATTGCTTGTTTTTCCTGCTGTAATTGGCTTCCTAATGGGGGCAGAATGTACTTGGTTTTGCACACAAAGCTTCATTACTGACAACCGATGGAAAGGATTTGAAGGGTGGGATTTGCTTGAAATATATATATTGAGTAACAGATGTCTCTGCTAAATAGAGTGTATGAGGAACTCCTGTAGATGGGTCCAAAAATGCAACTGTTTTTCCTTAAAACGATTTAAGATGTCCCTGTGTTAGATGGAAAGATCACTGCCTATTACTTGAGAATGGGGCAGAGACTTTGTTCTGCTTCATTGGACGGGAGTTAGGATGCTGGGATGGTGCTCTGTACTTGGGGCTGGCAGCACTACGTGTATTTGTAAAGGTATCTTTAATGATCTCGGTGGCATATCTAGCGATCCGCTCCTGCTATCAAACTGGGAGGAGGTGGTGAGCCGTGGTGGTGTTTAGTAGCTTTCAGAGAGTTCTGAAGCTTTCCCTGCTGCTCATAGATGTTAGTGCCACTTCAGGTGCCCTCCCTTGGAGGGCATTGCCATGGAGAAGCACAGCTGGACCATCTGTGTTCTCAGGGTGCTCCTGGTTGTGCTTAGAAGTGAGAGTCCATGTTCTGACTAGGGTTGGGTGCTCCACCAAGGCAGTTCTTGCTTTAATAATGACTTTTTAGATGTGGTGCAAGGTTCCTTAGTGTACTAGACTGTTGATGGTCATAATGATGATCATCAGACACCATTGTGTCTGCCGTGAGCAGAATTTTGTGCTGTTTGGTTTAATGTGCTATTGTACCCGTAGAGGTTGCTGTAAGTGGCAGGTGAGTGTAGCTTTGTATGTGTATGTGTACATATATACGTGAATATATGTACATGTATAGAAAATTGATAATGAAAAGGTAAGATAGCCCTTTGTGGAAATGGCTTATCATCCTTAACTCCCCTTAGCAGAATCAACAGATAGGCAGAAGTGGCAAAAA